AGCGCTTATATGACAGGTCCTGTGAAGAAGGGTCTGCTGCCATTCAGGCTGAGACCAAGTGGGAGATGCCCAACTAGAGGGCTTATATAGCATCTGCCCTGCAGGGTCCTTTCCTCCTGTGTGTCTGTTCTGCAAAACTAGTTCAACCAGAATACTAGTTTGAAGGAACTAATAGTAAAAAGTTACAAAGGCCCAAAACATCCCAGAATAGGCTCAGTCCCCTGGGTTCTGGGCAGGCTGTTCCAGAAAATAGAGCAAATGTTTGTCTTCTCTTCTGACAAACCCCAGAGGCTACTTACAAATAATTTATTGGCGTAGCCTCGGTCTCCTTATTTCATGGACCTTGGGAAAATAATGAAAACAACCGAGTAAATAATTTATGTAAATAGTTTGTTTGACAAGAATGCGTTTTTTGGAAGATGAAAGTAGTTTGCAAATCTGGGTCAAATTCAGCAAATCTCCTCTGCTGAAAAAGAAATAGGAATTCCTGGAGTAATTAAAGCACTTTGTTTCAGGATTATATAAATGTAAAGGTTGAATGAAAAATGTTTTAGTTTTCAAAATAGCTAACACTTTAAAAAGAGGTGGAAAGATCTTAGGAAACACCTTAAAAAAACCCACAACAAAACCTTGGCTTGACCTGAGAGGCAGTCTTTAGGTTTCCTTGTTTTTCCAAAGTTCCTCAAACATCCTCATTTCAGATACACTCAATTGAAATTTTTTTTTTTTTAATATATTTTGGAACTGGGCTTTTTGTTAGCGTTGGGACCCCTAATCTGAAAAAATCAGTTGCTTGCATTGTGCTTGTAATGAGGAGTGTTGGTCCTGGGAGAAGAGGGAACCTCAGGCTGCAGCTCTGCTCTCTTGCCCAGCAAGAAGCAACCAGCCTGTCATGAACTGAACGCCAGGGAGGAGCGAAGCACTGGCTGCATGCGTGGATCCGTGCAATAACAGGAACAGTAATAGCACCCTGCCCTGCACTTGGGGGGTTTTATGAGTACACAGCTGTAAGGGCTCGATTTGCGCTTGCCCTCGGTGAATCTGCCTGCTGGAGGCATGTCCCCAGCCCTGGGAGTGTGGCTGCTGTACCCTCACTGTGCAAAGACCTATGTCATGCTCTTCAGTGAATCTTTAAACTGCTGCACACCATGGCTCGTAGCAGGAAGGTGTTAAAGATCTCTGGGTTTAATCTGGAGAGAGTTCATTGTATCTGTGCTTACAGAAACAAGCCATGGAGAAAATCCCAGTGTGGCATTAATGGCTAACGCTTGCTGTGTGGGGTCACAGGGCTGTGCACGTTCCCATGATGGCGGTGACTGCTCTTTATCATGTCCTGAACATCAACCCGATGTGACTTCTCATGAGTTTCTGTCTCCCTTCACAGGTTGGCTGTAAGGCACTGGTGTTTCCCACTCAATTTAAAACACAGAAATACTACGATATTCTAAAGCAGTCATGTCCTGAGCTAGAAAAATCCAGTCCAGGGGGAATAAAGAGCAAAAGGTGAGTTAGGAACATCTGGTGTCTTTGCACTGACCTCATAGCTGTGTCCTGCCATGTGTCCTCTCAGCTGCACAACACAGGCTTTAGCAGAAGAAGGACCTGCACAGGGTCTCATCTGAAGAGAATGGGTTGGGCTGTCCTGGAGCTTTGCCCTCACCAGTGTATGCCTATCTAGGCAGTTTTTCCTTGCTTCGTTATTGCTGATGGTATTTTTCTTTCTACTAGGTTACCTGACTTATCCGTTGTCATCACAGTGGACTCCAAGCTGCCTGGCACCTTCCACATGGATGAAGTGATGCAGGCTGGGGACAGCAGCCATATGAAGCAGTTAAGAGCCGTGCAGCGGACCCTCTCCTGCAATGAGCCCATCAACATCCAGTTCACTTCAGTAGGTGCTTCTGCCTGCTCCATGCCTCGTAGTTGGGTTCCTTGCTGGGGACACAGGGAAAGATGTGTGTGATGCTGAGCATCCTATTTCCTTTGCCTTTTGCCCTCTGAGACCAAGCCCTGGTTCCATCTTCTGCTGTAGGATGGAGGAAATGTTCTAGCATTTCCTGTTGCTCCTTCCATTCTTGCTGCTTGGCCCTTTTTCAAGGGCTGATGGAGATGAGAGGGTGTCATGTGAATTCTGTCCAGCTGAAGTTGGACCATTTTTTTGTTTGGTTTGGGATAAAGATGCTGTTAAAGAAGAAAATAAAGTCTCCCAGGTCTGAATGGAGAATGAAGTGCAAGAGCACCCCATAATCAGCCTGGGAAATCACCCCTGAGAGCACACACCGTGAAACTCATCCTTGGGAAAGGTGCCATCATTGCATAATACCTTGTGTCTTTCAGGGGACAACGGGAAGCCCCAAAGGAGCCACCCTCTCTCACAGGAACATTGTGAATAATGCCAATCTGTTTGGTCTGAGGCTGGGGATCACAGAGCAGGTGCGTCTTGGTGGGAACACAGCTGGGGGTGGTCTCCATTGCCACAGAGAGACCACGTGTGTGGAGAGTGTTGGTGCTTGCTCGGCAGAAGGGCAGGGTGTTTTGCTGCAAATGACATTGAGGGATACTCATGCATAACATTTTTCATTTCAATGGAGTTTCATTGATACTGTATTTTAGTTTCAAGTAAAGGTTTTTTTTGGGAAAAAAGATACCTTTTTGTGGGGAAAAATTAAGCACTTCATTTTGGTGAATACTCATTTCAAAGAATTACGAGACTCTGGATGTTAGCTTTGAATTCTATTGAATGAGGTTTTAATTTGTTTTACATGACTTCATTTCATGTCATGTATACAGTCTCGTAACTCTTATCAGGATATGACCTTTCTATTTGTAGTTTCTTTTAAAAATTGTTAAAGGCAAATACTTTCTTTTGAAGTTCTGAAGTAGTTATTTCTAACACAACAGCTTTGATCCAGAAAGAAGATGGGTTGTTTCAATCAGTCTTCAGAGACTTTGGTGTTTTTAAAAACAAAGTAAAATTAATAGCATGTGCCAAGTCCTGCATATTTTATGCCTGTCATAGCACTACCACTATTCTCTTCTGGCATATCATAAAATAATGCGTAAGCAATACCAGACCATAAAGTGCAGCAAAGAAAAGACATTGCAAAATTAGAGAATGAAATTTTGACTTAAAAAAACTTCTCAAACTGATTTTTATTAAAGGCAGGAAGTATCAGTGTTGTGTTTCCACCTAACGGGAACACAGATGAATGTCAGATTTCCAGCAAATTTTCAGTGAATCAGGGAAAACTTCTCTGTTCAGATCTTTGCTCTTCAGCAGTGAGATGGGCTAGTCATGGGCTGGAAGATCTCCTTTCCTCACTGTTGTCTTTGGCTTGATTCTAGGACTATCGTGTTGGCCTTCCTGCACCCCTCTATCATTGCCTGACGTCGGTAGGAGGCTGCATGGTGATGGCTCTGCACGGGTCCTCCTGCATCTTCTCATCGCCAAGTTTCGAGGGGAAGGCTGCCCTGGAGGCAGTGTCTCGCGAGAAGTGAGAGTTTGTTTGTGTCTTGCTACAGAGGAGTTCATTGCCTCATGGCAGTGCTTTCTTCCTTTGTCTCACCTGTCAGGCCATTGCTCAAGCTCTTCCTTCCCATGGTGGGAGAGGCAGGTTTACTCATGCACATGCTTGCACAGGCACTTCAGGAGCCTAAATCCTGCCTTTTCAGCTGCGCTTGGAAGTTTGTCACCCTTCTCTTTTCCCAAAAATAAGGGATCCTTCAGGTCACTGCAGGGCTTTGGCTGGAAAGTGTAGTGGTGTCTTGGTTTGCTATGGCTGGTGTGTTTTTACATCTAACCACCTGCCTTCCTTCTCCAAGTCCAGCTCTGCTGCTGAGATAGTTGCATTTCCAGCTTGTTCTGCGTGTGTAGTTTGTAAAACAAAAGAGCTATCGTTGTGTCTGCATAATACACACATACATGTATATATTTTTTTATACATACGTATGTGTATGTGCACTCATGAACAGCACATCTGCTGTGCCTGCCTCCGTGCTGCTGCTCTGCAGCCCTGCACGTGACGGGGCGGGATGGGGTGCTGAGCTGGGGCTGCCCCTGGTTCCAGCTCTGCACCTTTGCCTTTTCTCTCCCCTTCCTGAAGATGCTCCTTTCTACACGGCACACCAACCATGTTTATAGACATGCTCTCCCAGCCAGACTTTGACTCCTACAACCTGTCAACTCTCCGGGGAGGTAAGTCTGACAGCTCAAATGGAAAAATCCCAAGAAACTGGATATTACTGGTTCCCTGCTGGGAGGCTGTATTAAGCTTCGCAAGCAAATGGCTCTTCCGGAGGGAAGAGTTCAGTTGCACGAGCCTTGTGTTTCACTGTTAATTTCATGCTACGCATTTAATTCCCTTTCCTTGGGGTTTCCTTCAAGAATTATATATTTTTAGGACTCTTCTTTCATCTTAGGCAGTCTAGGGAAGGACCTTTTTGTTCTATCTGCAAGGGAAGATACCGGGAATAGCCTGATTTTGCTCAACTTGCATCTCACCAGCCACCACCGTGTGGCAGCAGATGCTTTATGTGCTTTAGGCTGGTGCAGTCCCTAAAGCAGAGCTACTCTCTGATTTCTCTGACCTGAAGTTTCCTGCCTGTTTTTGAAGTCATTCATCTACATGCTGGAGAGGGTGTGATAACGTGTGCTGGAGCTTCCTCTCTTGTCACAGACAGCCTCGGAAATAGCTGAGCCGAAACACAGAGACCACCAGCGCTTTTGAGGCAATAATAGCATGGAGAGAAGATGGTGCTGGAGCATAAAGAAACATTTAAGCAGATTACCTAATCATCTCTGCTATGTTGACAAATGATCCTGGCTCATCTTGTTCCCCAGCAAAGCCTATATATTGCCCCGCTCTTTTGCTCTGTCATCCTAGGGTGGAACAGGTGAAAACGTGATCTGCCCTCTCCCAAAAGGGCTGCTCTGTGCAGGGCAGGAGGAAATGTTTTTGGTTTTATGGTGATGATGATTGATGGGAGTGTTTGTCCTGCTAAAAATCTGTGCCTCTTTCTGCTCTGAATCTTTCCTTTTTGGGAACTGCAGCTTGGACTAGGTTTGTGCTATAGAGTTTATTTTCCTAACGAGTGAACTCTGCCAACCCTTAATTCATTCAGGTAAACTGGCCTTGCTGTAGCCTTTGCTTCTAGAATAACTAGGACCTGTATCCATAAAAATAGAAAGTATTTTAACAGGAACCGGTGTATCCCAAAGGTCTTGCCAGCATTTAAATCTGGGAGTGCAGAACCTTCTGAGGAACCGCTCCTGAGAGTAAATAGATGGTTTCCAAGATGGTAATCTTTTCCTCTTTCTCCCAGGAGTCATTGCAGGTTCTCCTGTTCCCCCTGAGATTGTGAAGATGATTATCACCAAGATGCACATGCCGGAGATCATGGTGAGTTGTGGTTGCTGTGACTAGAGCTACAAGTGGTGTTTGTCGTGGTGAGACCCTGAGTTTGGGCATCTCTGCACAGCAGCGGTACCTGGCGGTGCCAGAACTGCTGGGATCAGGCGTGATGGGACCGTGGGTGCGAGACCAGGCAGAGGAGTGAAGGTGTAGAGGGGCTGGGAGGAAGAAGGGGGGTTCTGCCTGGTTGCTGGTGGGGTGTCTGGGGAGGAAGCTTTGTAAGAAGAGAAGACATTGCATTCAGTGTTGTAAACTGAGCTTCTGCTGGTGCATTTCAAAGCTTTTATAAACCCTTCTGTTGTACACGCTGCAAGGACGAATGATTATGGAAGAGGCGTTGCTGGTTTGTATCGGTGTGGGTGGGTGCATGTGTTCATCTTGCCGTGGAGCTGTCAGGTTTCTTTCACCATCCTGGACTGCATGCATATACAAAACCTTGTTGCATGCTATGCGTTTGAGTCTGAACACGGGAATGGCACGTGCAGAACCAGGCATTGCGTTGCCAGAAGGGCAGAACGTGTTGGACCATGCATGCTGTTGCTCCATTGCATGTCCCTGTACCCTTGGTCTGTGCAAGAGCATCAGCATGTCCTGCGTGTGGAGGGGGACAGGCTACCAGCGAGGGGGTCAATGGCACTCCAGGTGACCTGTTTCATTGGCAGATTTTGCCATCTGCACGTGTGTGCCTGTGAGTGAATGGCTGAGCCAAAAAAGGACTTTTTTGTTTTACTTTAAAGGAAATAACTTCGGTGCCACGCTGCTTGCAAATGCTGAGGAAGCAGGCTGTTGTGATGGATAAACACGTGGGGCTGGGAGTCAGATTAGGCATGTTATTGTTGGCAGACCCGGACTGCACCAGCACCAGGGTTTGACAGGGACGGCTGTGTGCTCTGCCGTGGACCAGGGGAGCCCAGGACATCTGTCCTGGAGCCGTCTCAGAGGCGGCCAGGGTTTTTTCCTGGATGTGATGCTCTTAACACCAAACTGAAAACGCCAGGGACACCCTGGTGCCGTTGCCCAGACTCTGTCAGGTGACAGCTACCTATTTTTACAGTAGGCTTGAGTTTGGCCTCACAAAATATTTTCAGACATTACTGCAAGTGCCCAGGACTCATTAGCTGTCACATGTTCCTGCTTTGTAGAAAGAGAAATAATAAAACCCTCCCAAACAGTTGCTCTGCCCATAGGATAAAGAGGATTAAGTCTATATTTGTACCACGGTCTCATGTTACTTCTGATCCCCCAGCCCTCGGACAGACACAGGAAGACTTGTTGAATTCATCTTTGCAGCAAGAGCTTTATACAGAAGATGTACATAAGAAAATATACAATTTGATTTCTATATAGGAGACAGAGGAATTTTCGTCCTCTTAAAGGTCATTTACACTCAGGTTCAGAGGAATAAATATACATATATTTATATAACTCTTTAGGATTAAAAAACACAGTTAAGTTGCAACTGTGGTATTGTAATAGCCGTGACAATAAACCACAGTCATCCTGGTGTCCTGCTAGATCCTCTGTAGTATGGGCAGAGAGAAGAGGAGTGCCCAAGCCAGGCTGCACGGTGCACACCTTCTTCTCTCGGACATACATGCATCTTGGTATACCCCACAGAGTGGGAGGGAATCCAGTCTTCAGATGGCTTCAGTTTCAGGGTTTCCCAGTACTGCTTCACTTAAAAGATCTCTGGCCAACCTAGAGATATTGCTGCCTTTTGGTGTGAAAGGGCAGCTCGGTCTCGGGGCCACCGGTTCTTGGGCATTGCTTCACCTATCCCCCTCAGCCCTGGCCTGCAGGGATCCTCTCCGTGGGAAGGCAGAGGAGTCTCTTTGCATGGGTTGAGACCAATTTTCCTGATCAAGCAGCTGGGGGAGGGATGCTCCTACCTTCCTACTTGCTTCCACTCCACTGGAAGGGGAGAGACAGCGACCAACTGGTTGATCGGGGGCATGGGTTGTGTTCCCTCTGGGAAAGATGACTGTGTTTTACCGGCAGGATCTAGGTTAGCTTGTCTTAGTATGGTCATGCATAGTTTAGTTTTTAAAAATGCCTCTTTAAAAATATATAGATGTCGGAAAAGATTGAAAAGGTGGATTCCATCCTGTGATCAGCAGAGAAGCGGGGATTTGGAGGAGGCTGGAGGTGTTCGGATATATCAGAAATGTTTTCTGACAGGTAGGAGAAGCTTAAGGAAGGACTCAGAATTCAGTAGTTTTCTGATAGTTGAAGTGACCGGTCACCAGGACAGGCCATACCGGGGCCTGCTAGGGGAAAAAAAGAGAGAAGGCCACATGTTTAAGGGGTTTTTTCAAGCAGATCAGTAAACTTCTAGCATTTGTCTGTTTATTTTTACAGTGAGTGAATGAAGCCTATACTTGAAAGTGAAGAGTTAGGAGTCTAGGAGCTATTACGAGTTCCCACAGTAGAGGAGATGGGTTAGTCCTGTCTCTCACCTCTTCTGCCAACTCTCTGTGTGACTCTTGAGTATCTTACCCAAAGCGTTGATGGTCAGTGAGCACTTCCTTCATAGAGGAAGAAACCCAAGAGCAAAATTTTCAGGAGTTATGAATTATTTTGGTGCCCCGGTTCTGAAAATACAGGGCAGGTAGATTTTTAGAAACTGCCAAGCAGCTTTCCATCTGAAATGTGGTCAGTGACCCAAGTCACTGGTCACCCCTGAAATACAGACCCTCATAGCTGACATCTGAGAAAGCTGCCTGGCTCTCAAGAGGTGCACGATGAAGTCGGAGGTACTTCATATTCCTTAAAATCATGCTCACCATACTGGAGTGGGTTTGTGTGCCGGCATTTTGGCGCTGACATGCAAAAGTACTGAGCTTTGTCTTCTGCAAGACTGGAATAAATAGTTTTCTATTTCACTAACACTTGTAAACTTGTTTGAGATTGCTGCATGGAAGGTGCTATAGAAAAACCAGGTATTATTGTCATGGTTTTCTTACTCTTATAATGGAGGACTGAACTGGAATTGAGTTCAGGCAGGGAGAGAAGAAGGTTAAGAAGGGCCAGACCTGTAAATAGAATACATTTAAATGTTGTGGTTTAGGAAACTGAAGTTTTTCCGTCCTTAGAGCGGAACTTTACCCGCCCTATATGGAATGACTGGTATTTCCATCTCTAATCCATAAAACCTCTGGCACTGGAAAAGAAATAGCCACTTTAGGAAGGCGCGGAGCAGCTGGCATCATCCCTGACATTTTGGTCATAAATTTACTTTCTCCATCCTGTTATGCATATCCTTAGTGAACTGGGGACCAAATGGCCATAGCTGGGCTTCACGCTTCTGCCTCGTCCTTTCTGTTATGAAAGGGCACAGTGACAACCCTTGTTCATACAGTGCAGTGCAGGGTCACTGCACTTTACTTAACAAATGAGCAAAGGTCCCTTTCCTAAGAGCTTACAAACTTGCAGGCTCGTCCAAAGTCCTTTGGAAGCCGTACAAGCTCCAGACCTATTCCTGGGGTGGGGAAAAGTAAAATGCTTGGGATGGAATGATGACAGTTGTGGCTTTTTTGCTACTCTGTGCGCTGAATTTAACACTCTTGGTAGTTTCCAGTTGTGGAAGGTGTTTGTGTGTTAGGTTTTCACAGTTGGTGTTTGGATTGGTAGATGTCAGCAAGCTCCATTGCTCAAGGAAAAGTCAGCCCTGTCTCTGAATCACCTTCTGGCCCAGAACACTTTATTCAAAGAATATTTGCTGTCTCAAACCTTCCTCTTCTGGGACACTCATTTGAAGGCATCAGCCCTTGTTTTTAAATACCTGAGTGTCTTGGATGGGAATTGTAGTTGCTAAAAGGCAGGTGCTGGACTGAGAACTGCTTCTTATGGAAGACATCTATTTTCATACGGGCTGGGCAGCCTGGGGCCAGATTTCCCAGCAATGTCCTGCCCTGGAGTTCAGACCAGACTCAGAGGACCTTTACTAGGGCAAAAGGCTGAGCATCTCCAATCAGTTAGAGAAGTAAAGCATGTGTGATCCCAGCTCAGGGTAAGAGTGGGCTAAAGCCACCCTTGTTTTGACACTTAATTACACATTTCACCCTTACTTGCTGCCCTAGGCCTGTCTTTAGCCCTGTGTTTGTTTTACAGGGTTGACTCCAGGCAGATTCTCTGCTTTGGCAGCCCATGGGGCCCAGTATTGCCAGGAGATGGAGCAGCTCTGAGCAGAGGCGTCGGTGGGTGAATGGATGAGCTGTTTTGAGCCAAACTCTAGTGTCATTGAAGTCAGAGACAAAAGTCCCTGTACCTTTGGTGGCATCAGGGTTTGCTGTAGGTCAGATTAAAAGCTACCAATAGGAAGTGGCTCTATGAACCATCTTACGTGTTTAATGTCGGCTTCCCTTCTTGGACCTCTTGGTGGGGAGTTTGCAGGTGCGGAGGGCTGGGGTGTCTTTGATGGACTGCCCCCGGTACTGCGCGGGTGTAGAGCAGGTCTCCTCGGTGCGGGTGCGATTGCCCTTCAGCCACCTGGGACATGGGGAGAAAGAAGACCAGGAGTTTACAAGAGGTACAAACCATCATGGACAACACTCATACCATGAACAGAGAGGGCAGGCTGGAGACAGAGCTGCTGAGCAGCCTTCAGCAGCCTCCTCTTGCCTGGCACAGCTCGGGGGGCACCTCCCTGGGGGGACCCCCAAGGAGACCCCAGGGAATGTGGGGAGGGAAGGGGTGCGTGATGTCGTACTTGCGCAGATGTGCTAGCTGGCAGTTGCAGTGCCAGGCGTTTTGCGAGAGCGTCAGCGTCTCCATTTTGTCAAAGGGGAAGTTGCGGGGCAGCTGGGTGAGCCGGTTGTTCTCCAGGTGAGCAGTCTTCAGCATGGTCACGCCAGTGAACGCGTTGTCTGCAAACTAAAGCACAAAGGTTTCTGGTGAGGAACACTGAGTTAGGCAAGGGGACTTCAAACCTGAGTGCCCCTCTTCAAGACTTTTAGTGGCATAAGCATGGAAAGAGCAAGAGAAGGAGC